ATCATCGCTGAATTTGTCAGACTATTTCGTCAATCTTTTAATTAATATCATTAAATTAAGAGAATGCAAAATTTCATGTGGTATCAGAGCTTTTAAGTCTACATAGTCACTTGATCCGTACGGGAAGTTTTTGCTTTTGCATTACTCTTTTTATTGGAAGTATCTCTGGTTGTCGATTGGCAGTCTGCCTACTTGTGTGTTTTTGGCTGGTTGTTTTTATTCAGGATTGATGCAAGCATGAAACCACCAGAATTGGATTGTCACAACTATTCATTCTGGAATGCTCGTATGGAGATCTATCTCAAGGCACAAGGTACCAGGGTTTATCGTATTATTCTCTTTGGATGGAGTCATCCAATTATTCAAAACCCTGATGGAACCACTATGGCAAAACCTATTGAGACTTGGACAGAAAATGAGATGACGGCCTTTGACCTGAACAATAAAGCACTGAACTCCATTTTAGGATCTCTGCATGAATCTGTGCTTACTTTAGTCACTGGGGTAAAGGAAGCAAAACGAGTATGGGAAATTCTTGAAACCAGGTATGAGGGTACAAGTGATGTGAAGCAATCAAAGCTTCAAATGGTCCTGTATGAGTTTGAAGCCCTTAGAATGAACGAAGAGGAAACAATCTCAGTCTTTCACAGTCGTGTTCAGAATCTAATGAGCAGAGCCTCAATACTCGACGAACCATTCACTGATGAAAGAGTAGTCAAAAAGGTCCTTCGATCTTTGCCAAAACGATTCCGAATGAAAGTAACCGCAATTCAGGAACACACAGGCTGGGAAAAGAAGAGCGTGGGAGAGCTTATGGGAAGCTTATACACATATGAACTTGAAGTGCTGGCTGATGATGACCTTGCTGTCAACAGAAAAGGCAAGTTAGTGGCTTTTGTTGCTGATGCTGATCGAGAATCAGACACAGATGACATAGATGATGAAGCCTTGGCCTTACTAACCAAGAACTTTAAGAAGATCTTGAAAGGCTTTAATAGAAGGAGTCAGGGACAACCTAACAAGACTCAATACAAAGGTAGTAACTCCTCATATCATAAAACAGACACACCCTCTTTCACACAGAACAACCAGTCTCAAACTGGCCGACCAAGACAACCCCGAAGCAGTTCGGCTAACACAGGCAGGTCACTCAACCGGTCAGTGCAGTGTCGAGAGTGTGAAGGATTTGGAGTTTTGGACACATCCAGGCGGAATGTGCAACTTATCTCAAAACAAAAAAGGCTATGTCTGTTGCTACACTAAGTGATGATGAAGAAGAAGCATCTAATGGTCAGTCAGATGACAACATGGGAAACTTTGTGGCCTTCTTTTCAGCTACAGAAAACCAGTCCGAAGGAAATGAATGTGATGAAGAGTCTTATATTTCGACAGATGACTTTGAAGAGAGGCATACCCAACTTGAGATGGAATTTTCTAAACTTGTTGCAAGCTGGGAGCAACTGGTAAAAGTTAATAAAAATCTGAATGAAGAACTAAAGCAACGGGATGATCTTCTGAAGAAACTAAACACAGAACTTGTCACAAAAGAAGATGTTATAACTCAGGTAAGGTCTTGAGAAGGAAAGCTGATAAAAGAGTTGGAGGATCTGAAGAAGAACATAAATATGATGGACACCACATCAACTCTAGACAAAATTCTGGATTCTGGACGAATTCCAAATGACAAAAAGGGTCTTGGTTATAACTGATGAGAGTCTTCGAAAACTATCCCTGTGTTTGTCATAGAGGGTACGTCAATTGATACACCAGCTCGCAGGTATGAGATAGGACAGTCATCCCGGTCAGTCCAGATAAAGGATAAAGGGAAGACACATATAGAAACTGATTTTGGCAGAGTGGCATTTCAATCACAGTACTCAAAGTTCAAAGCTAAATTTGCTAGAATTAAACAATATACACCCATCTGTCACTACTGTCAAACAAAAGGTCACACTCGACCTGAGTGTTATTCCTTTCATAGAGACCAAAGGAAGGAGAAATATTAGAATAGACTATTGCACCGTTTACAAGATAAGTTTGGGTCAGGAAGTCAGAAGTAATATGCTACCCCACTATAGTTCTGACCGCCTCTACTACTGAAGCAAGATGGTACTTCGACAGTGGGTGCTCCAGACATATGACAGGAAATGTCAAGTGCCTTATGGCTGTTCAATCTATCACTGGATCAGTTACATATGGAGACAGACAAAAAGGAAAAATAGTTGGAAAAGGTACCCTAAATGTAGCAGGCTTACCCCATCTAGAAGAAGTTCTATTAGTCAGTGGTCTGAAATCAAATCTTATTAGCATCAGTCAGTTGTGTGATCAAAACTGGAATGTGTGCTTCAATCGTAACTAGTGCAGAGTCAGGGATAAAGCAGACCAACTGGTAATGGAAGGAACATGATCCTCGGACAACTGTTATGTACTGACTAATGAAAATGCTTGTCGCCTATCAAAATCAGATGAATCAAAACTCTGGCATAGACGACTGGGTCACATAAACTACAGAGACATGGATAAGATAATCAAAATGGATGCTGTGCGAGGGATACCTAAGATCATAATAGAACAAGAAGGGGTTTGTGGTGCATGTGTCATTGGGAAACAAATAAGAACTCCTCACAAAGCAGTAAAAGTTATCACTACCGAGAAATGCCTAGAACTGGTTCATATAGACCTTATGGGACTTACACAAACTGAAAGTATTGGTGGAAAGAAATACATATTTGTGTGTGTAGATGACTTCTCTCGATTTAGCTTGGTATACTTCCTAAGAGAAAAATCTGAAGCCTTCAATGCTTTTAGAGCCTTGTGCATAAGGGTTCAAAAAGAAAAGAACGAGCCTATAATAAAAATTCAGAGACTAAGAAGTGATCATGGTAAAGAGTTTGAAAACTCTTTGTATTCAGATTTCTGCTCCGAGAATGGTATAGCCCATGAATTCTAAGCTCCCAAAACATCTCAACAGAATGGTGTGGTGGAAAGAAAGAATCGAACCTTACAGGAAATGGCTAGAGTTATGCTACATGCTTCTCATCTACCACAATGTTTCTGGGCTGAGGCAGTACACACTCCATGTCATACAGTGAATAGAGTCTACCTGAGACCAGGTACATCCAAAACGCCATATGAGATCTGGAAGGAGAAGAAGCCGAACTTGAAGTATTTCCATGTGTTTGGGACAAAGTGTTATGTGCTGATCGATAGGGAACAAATGGGGAAGTTTGAACCTAAGAGTGATGAGGGCATCTTCCTGGGATAGTCTCCAAACAGTCGAGCCTATCGAGTCTATAACAAAAGAACTCAATCTGTAATGGAATTAGTAAATGTTGTTATAAGTGACTACCATGACGAATCTGTAGAAGCATCAGTGATTGAAAAAGAGACAGAACCTCGTCTGAGTGAGTTAGACACAGCTGAGGACACCAGATCCAAAACTCAGGATTCATCAGATGAAGATCAACAAAGTTCTGAACAAGCGACGTCTCTCGTCGATAATGTGGGGAAGAACAAACCCACCAGAACTCAGAAAAATCATCCTTCAGACAACATTATTGGAGATCCAACAGATGGGATGAATACCAGAAGCCGAATGAGAAATAATCTGATAGAAATATCCGGATCAGCCTGCTATACCTCAAAAATAGAACCAAAAAATGTGAAAGAAGTGTTACAGGATGATCTGTGGATCAAGGCTATGCAAGAGGAGCTGCACCAGTTTGACCGGAATCATGTCTGGGATCTGGTTCCAAGACCTGATCGTGTCAACATAATCGGAACAAAGTGGATCTTCAAAAATAAAACTGATGAAGCTGGAAATATTGCAAGGAACAAAGCTTGGTTAGTTGCTCAAGGATACACTCAGATAAAGGGAATTGACTATGATGAGACGTTTGCTCCTGTGGCAAGGTTAGAGTCGATCAGAATTTTGTTGGCATTCGCATGTATTATGGGATTCACACTGTTTCAGATGGATGTTAAGGCAGCGTTTTTATATGGGTACTTGCATGAAGATATCTATGTGGCACAACCGAAAGGATTTGAAGATCCAGACCATCCATCCCATGTCTACAAGCTCAGAAAAGCCCTCTATGGTCTCAAACAAGCTCCAAGGGCATGGTACGAACGACTGACACAGTATTTGCTACACCATGGGTATAAGCGAAGAAGTGTTGACAAAACTCTGTTCGTAAAAACCACTGGAAGTCATCACTAGTACAAAAAAAGCTTTTAGAGTCACCCATAAAACACTTTCCGAGTCACCTGTACAGGTGACTCGGATGTGAGAGACTGTGATTCTCCTCCGCTTTACGAGTCACCCGTAAAGGGTGACTCGAAAAGCAGAGGATATATTTTTTAATTTTTGAATACAGAGTATCCGAGGCACCTTCAGCGGAGCAGGTGACTCGAAAAGCAGAGGATATATTTTTTAATTTTTTAATACAGAGTATCCGAGGCACCTGCAGCGGAGCAGGTGCCTCGGATACTCATTTATTAATATTATAATATTGCTTTTCCGCGGCACCTCTGACATGAAGGGTGCCGCGAAAAGCTTTTATATTTTTTTATTATTATTACTTTCCGCGTCACCTTACTCCGAGAGGGTTACACGGTTTTTTTTTTTTTTTTTTTTTTTTATTTAAAAATTGAATATTACCCAATTTTATTGATTCAACCTGTACAGAATTTTCTAAATTCACCAAATGCACAAAAAATTTTATCAAAAAAGAATAACAATTAATTAAACTATCTATAAATATTCAAAAATAATTAAATTAAAATCAACTAATAATTAACACTAATAACTATAAACCCAAACACAACAATATATATAATTCACAAGTAATAATCAACACAATAAAATACCACAATACACTTATAATATCAACACAATAAAATACCACAATACACTTATAATATCAACACAATATATAATAACAATCAACACTACATTCAAACATAAACTAAGCATAAGTTACTGTTTAAACTAAATAAATTTACACGCACTCTTCTAGAAAATATTCTGCCCACAACTCTCGAACTTCATCTATGTCGTTCAAGGAGTAGGGTGCTTCATTGTCAAATATCTACATAATAATTTTAATTATTCAAATTAGTAAACATATTAATTAATAAATTATAATTCAAATATACATATAGTTGTAATTAAATTACTTACCCCATGTAGACAATCAACCTTTGAATACTTAGTAACGATCTCTAACATGTATCTTAGTACATAATATCCACATTCAGTGCCTCCTGACTGTTGTGGACACTACAAAATACAAACAAAGGTTAATATCATATTAATAAATAAAAAACAAATGTTAATATCATATTAAAAATTTAACTTTAACTTCATACTTTGCATTGCTTCCAATCAATCGCTTTAGTTCTTCCTCCAATTGTAGAAAGAGATCGAAATGCCCTACATTAGTAATAAACATTTATATCGATGTATAAATAACATATAATATCATTTAAAATATATACATAGTATTTGTGCTAAGATTTTACTTACATATTCAAATAAATTTTGACTTCAAAGTGCCTTGTATTTTTCAAAGGATCAAACACATACACCGTTTTTGAAGATGCGCAAATCACAAGCAATATCCAATGATTACTACATTTACAAAACATATATATATATATATATATATATATATATATATATATATATATATATATATTAAAATTCTAATATCAACCACTTCAAATAAAGTAATTAAGTTATATAATAAATTAGTTAAGTAAAATACTTACTTTTGATGATATGGTGCCAAAATGAAATGCTGATCCTTGTGTTCCTCCATGACCTTAATGAAATGTGATGTAACGGAAGAGGAATTTAAGTGAACCATATCTGCTGAAATTTGTGTTGGACATGCAAACCCGATAGATGTCACTCCAAGCTGCTTACCCCGCTTATTCAAAAACCTGAAAAATAACAATTAAGAAATTTCAATAAAATTACAAAAATAAATGTATATAAAACACATGAACAATTTAAAACTTACAGCATAAACACTTGTATAATTGAGACATCGAGGCAAGCCAATGTCATCAAATTATATATATCATCTATCATCACATAAACAGCATTCGCGTTTGCATGATGGAAAACAGCAGAATCCAATTCCACATCAATGTACTCTTTCTTAACAGAAAATGATGACAACGCTCTGACAAGTTCCTTGCAATATGTCCCCAAAAGCAAAAACACATTTTCACCAACAATTGGAGGTCGTATATAAGTAGCAGATTGGTCAGCACTTTGACCTGTCATTTGCATATTTTGTCTTTCTGAGCTTGTTCTGACATTTTCCTACCAAGAGAAAAGGATTGTGTTCAATTTAATTTACAATTCTAAAGAATACTCAATTTTGTATGCAACTATCGCTTAAGAAATCCCAAAATAACATGCAGACATTAGAGACAACCACAAACAGTGTTTTCAAATACCTAAGTCAGTTTGTTGTCCAATATAGAAAGAACGTGAACTAAATTGACCTTACATACCTCATCCAAAGTAACTAAGTGAGTAGGCCATTGTGCGTGACTCCCAACAATATGTGCCAAAGTGTAATGCTGCAATGTTGGCACGGGGAAATTATATTGCTCTGCACCATCAAGCACTTCATCGACCATCACTTTGACATGGTTAGGTAAAAGTAGCGCATCGCTCACCATTGTCATCTCATCTGTAGTTGGGTAAACCGTACCCTTTGCAACATCGATTGGCTTACCATCAAAACCACATATTGCAAGAATACACTTTTTTCGGCTCTATTGTTAAAATTGTATATGTTAGGTTTACATTTAAAAGAAAATAATATGTTGATTATAAAATAATTTTTAATATTACCTTAATTGTGGTTACTGGATATACGTCAACAGAATGACAACTGCTTTTAGTCGGAGGTTGAAAACAAGGCGCATAAACACTTTGAGGAGTGCTAATCGAAACTCCTGGTGGACCTTGGTGTGTGGCTGACATGTTATTCAACAATATATTCAATTGCTGGGTGAGTATGTCAATCTTGGGTTGCATCTCCAACAATGCATTTTGCTTGACCGTTTCCATCAGCACTTGCACTTCATCATTAGACATAAACCCACTCCGTATGCCCTGTTTCTGCTCTGGTTTACCAAATACTTGTCGGATGGTGGAGTATGAACCAATTCCTCTTACCGAACCCGAACCCCGTTTATCCTCTGGTTTACCGAGAGCTGCAAACAATATGTCATGATGTCTGTGTGGTTGAAATGTCCCTTGACCAACTTCATCACATTTTTCTATCTGTTTCAATCAATTAGATAAAACCAAGTATTAGAATTTATATGAATATTATATGTTCTTATAACAATTTTTAAAAAATAGTACTTACAATTTTATGAAACACCTCCTGTGTTTTCTCATTCGGAATGTAATAATTTCCTTCTTTTGACTTCTTAACTTTTGCTCGTACCCAGTCAAAACTGCGATCATCTGATAGTAATGTTGAGCTAACAGAAGCACAAGAAGATTGTGAAGATAGAGGGTCTGACATCATCCACTCTGCTTTTTTGCCTGCATATCCAGCAGAACCTAGGAAGTGTGGATGCACATTGCATGCCTGCCTTTCCTTTGCCTTTTCACTCCTTTTCTATAATTTCAATGATAAGTTAAATTATATTTTCAAAATTATCCAAGTTCAAATTTAATTGCTATTGGATCAAAATTAATCATAGATTAAGAATCAAGCTAAACAGGAATCTTTCGGTCACATTTATTCCCCTACTGAAGAGAGCAGTTTTGTTAGAAGGCATGTTCATTAATGATTGAAGTTTGATTGAAGTTTTGTTACAGAATGGGCAATAATATCCACAGTTTTGTTACACAAGCTCTTTGTACCCATACTTCACTCAAACAATGCCAAAATCAAGCAATATATATCATACCAAATCTATTTCATACAATTGAACTAAAGCACTTAAACTACTTATAATAATAAAATGAAATAAACATACCTTGAATTCCTCACTCTCGCAATTTGCAACAAATTTCAACCAACTCTCTTCACTCACGTACTCATAGAATTGTGCCGGAGACTCATACTTTGGGTGCTTATTGACAATATATTCACGCTTCAATCTACTCTTGAAGTCTCTCCATCTCTTTGCTGCAATTTTCAATACAAAAGATTTCTGCGTATCATCTTGAAGGCCAAATTGTGCCTGAATAACAACATAAACATAAGCAATAACAATAACGTATATCAATAATTGACAATTAATATAAAGTTATTGGATACCTTAACATCTGTCCAAATTGAATTTTTAATCGTTGCATCTACGTCGGGCCAAGTGCCGCTGTTGATATTTACTCTATCGCGAACCAAAGCCCCAATATAACAGACAAATTTCTCTTTATACTCGCCAATTGGCCTGTTTAACGCATCAAACTGAATTGATATTTCACCTTTTCCCTTTTTCTTTTTCAAGTTTCTGCATGAATTGGGACCTCTTGTTTTAGGTACAGTACAAGTTTCTTTAAGGGTTGGACTAGAGGTTTCTCTAGTATGATCAGTCATGGTTGTCTATATATACCTGCACATGCAAAAATATATATCAATAAACATGTTATATTGTATTTCAAGTCTAATAAAAGATATTGTCAACAATAGATATACCTACACATGCAAAAGATATTGTCAACAATTCATAAATCTTACAGCAAAACACTATGATGGCCGATGGTCAACCCACAATCCTTCTTCATGATCACTACGCATGTAACTAATTTCAAGGTTATCATCCTCTACAGATAAAGACTGAATACCAATTGAAAATGGAGGAGTTTCATCAAAATGATCATACTCTTCTTCATCAACAACATCTCCAACACCAACAATACTTCTCTTGCCTTGTAAAACAATTGACCACTTTTTATCCACAGGATCAGAAACATAAAACACTTGTTTTGCTTGAGATGCAAGTATGAATGGTTCATCATGATAACCTAACCGACCAAAATCAACCAAAGTAAAACCCAATTCATCTATCTGAACGCCCTTCTATTATCAACCCAATTACAACGGAATAGAGGAATTTGAAATACATTGTAATCAAGTTCCCAAATCTCTTCAATCACACCATAGTAAGGCATAACAGCATCCATCGGTTTAGTATCTTTAGCACTTGAATAATCTTTTGATGTTGCTACTAATGTAACCCCACTATTTTGCACCACACTCTTTTCATATTGTCGCTTGGTGTAAAATGTATATCCATTTATGTCATAACCTTCGTAACAATTCACAAATAATTTAGGCCCATTTGATAACCATTTGATGGTTTCACTGACATTATTTGGCACTTGAGATAGCTCTTTCATCACAATATCATTGAACCATCTTATGAAAGTGCGATTGTGTTCAATATCCACCCATCTTTCACCCTTCAAAGGATTTTGTTGTCTTATCATAGACATGTGTTGCTCCAAGTACGGATGAACCTCAGTAAGGTGTTCCAATACGAGATGATGTGCCTTATCTCGTAAATTACTAGGTGGAACAAAGTGTCTAAATCCAATAGTACCTTTCCCACTGAGTCTTCCTTCATGAATAGGCTTGGGATTACCAATAGATTCAACATTAGCTAAATAATCAGTACAAAACTCAACAGCCTCTTCAGAACCATAACCTTCAATTATACTTCCTTCAGGTCGATATCTATTCCTCACATATCCTTTCAATATTCCCATGTATCTTTCAAACGGATACATATATCTCATAAAAACCGGAGCAGTCATCTTTATTTCCCTTACCAAGTGAACAATCAAGTGCACCATTATATCAAAAAAAGATGGGGGAAAATACATTTCAAGTTGACACAAAGTAACAACCACTTCAGCCGGCAAAGCATCTAACACATCTACATCAACAACTTTACTGCAAATAGCATTGAAAAAGAAACAAAGTTTTGTTATAGCTACCCTAACATGTTTGGGTAAAACATCTCGAATAGCAATAGGTAACAGTTGCTGCATTAATACATGACAATCATGAGACTTCATGCCAACCAATTTAAGGTCCTTCATTGACACAAGTTTGTTAATATTCGATGAATAACCGGAAGGGACCTTGACACCATTTAAACAAGCACAAAAACTTGTTTTCTCTTTTTTGGACAAAGTATGACAAGCTGGAGGTAAGTATGTCCGTTTTCCCGATTCTTCTGGTGCTAACTTCTCCCGTATTCCCATTTCAACCATATCCTTTCTAGCTTTAATACCATCTTTTGTCTTTCCCTGAATGTTCAACAGTGTTCCAATAATGCTGTCACAAACATTCTTCTCAATATGCATGACATCAAGACAATGTCTAACAGCTAAATGCTTCCAGTATGGTAGATCCCAAAATATAGACCTCTTCTTCCATAGAGTCTTCTGAGTAGTCTTACACGTTTTGCCGAAAGCAACATTAACGTTTTTAACACGGTCATAAACCGCTAAACCAGATAAAGGCAAACGAGCTACTCCAGTCTCTGATTTTCCATTGAAAGCTTTTTTCTTCTTTCGATAAGGATGATCAATTAGAAGAAATGTCCTATGACTCATGAACACATTCTTTTTACTGTTATTCAACCATAGATTGGCTGTTTCATCTTCACAAATAGGACATGCCTTAGCTCCTTTATTAGTATAACCTGATAGGTTACCATAGGCTGGAAAATCATTTATGGTGCAAAAGATCATTGCACGTAAGGTAAAACTTTCTCGAGTATAAGCATCATACACCGACACACCTTCATTCCACAACATTTTTAAATCTTCAATAAGTGGCGCTAGATATACATCTATGTCATTTCCTGGTTGTTTAGGCCCTGATATTAACAACGATAACATGATGTATTTTCGCTTCATACACAACCAAGGTGGAAGATTGTAGACTACTAAAAGGACAGGCCAAGTACTGTGTCGACTACTCATGTTACCATGAGGATTCATTCCATCAGTACACAGTCCAAGTCTAAGACTCCTGTTTTCAGTGCCGAATTCAGGCCACCTCCTATCAATATTCCTCCATTGTGGTGAATCGGCGGGGTGTCTTAGTTTTCCATCATCTTTTCTCCCAATAGCATGCCATTGCAAATTTTTTGCATCCCTTGGATTAGCAAACATGCGTTTAAATCTTGGTATTACAGGTAAATACCATAACACTTTGGCTGGTGGACCTTTCTTATTCTTTGGTTCATCACCAACATTTTTCCTTTTGTAACGCGATGACCCACACTTTGGACATACATGCAAGTCTTTGTATTCTTTCCAATACAATATACAATCATTTGGACATGCATGTATCCTCTCAATTTCCATACCCAACGGACACAACAACTTCTTTGCTTCATAAGTTGAATTTGGAAGTTTATTATCATTAGGAAGCATGTCTTTTATTAGTTCTAATAATCCCGTAAAACTCTTATCACTCCATCCATTCTTTGCTTTTAAATTATATAATTTAAGCACACCAGATAACTTAGTATATTTGGCACACCCAGAAAACAAAGGTTTTTCAGCATTCTCAAACAAACATTTAAATTCAGGAGGCATTTCACTACAATCTCCCTGCATATCACGCATCATTTCATCTATTCGGTCTTTAATTCCATCATCCTCATCATTCTCCTCGTTATCTGCCTCAGTTCGACTATTTGCTTCAGTTTCACTCTTTGCATGAGTTTGACTGCCTGCATGAGCTTCATTCTTACTAACACTTATACTAGGAGGTAAGCTTTCACCATGCCATATCCATCGATCGTACCCTTCTTTAAAGCCACGACGTATTAAATGGACTTTCACTTCTTCAGAACTCCGATATCTTTTCAAATTTTTACAATCATAACACGGGCACGATATAAAATCTTTGGCCTTTTGACTTTTATTTTTTTTCAGCACATTCTATAAACTCTTGAACCCCTTGTATATATTTGAATGTAGTGCGTTTTTCATACATCCAACTCCGATCCATATCTGTCAATTATAGTACTATGAAATACCATTTATTTCAAATACTTAGAAATAATACTATTTTAATATTTGTGTCACTAATATTAAGATTTGACACCTTAAATTAACATTATTAGATCAAATAGAGAGGATTTAATTTAAACTTAAAACCTCATTTTCAAATAATTAAAGAGCTAAAATACCAATAATAACAACAAACTACAGTAACAAAATTAAGAAGCGGTTGTGGTTTGATTTATTTGGCCAGCCAAACAGATAACAAATACGGATAACACTTTGAATGTAAATACATGCCTGGTAAATTTTCCCAGTAGTTATATTGTTGTCCCGCGTCAGCTTATTATCTAGGAAAGCTCATAGTTCCCAAGATCTAGATCCACCTAAAAGAAACACCAAATCAAAGTTAAGTTGACATCAAAGAAAAAACATTACTTTAAAATCACTCCAGTTAATTTCCCTATACAAGGAAGCAGAAAGCAGAATGTATAACTACTCTTGAAGTGTTAACTAGCAGATCTATTGCACTCAACAAAAGTCGGTGATTCATATGCTAATAATATTTGCAGGTATACAAGTTTAAATCATCAAAATTTATGGACGGATAGTACTAAGACGTCTCTTTTCAGCTTTTTATTTTTTTATTTTAGGGAAGATTTGATGGGAATGGAGATTGGACCTGCAAACTCCTACCTAAAGTCTTAGGCTTAATTAGTGAATCAGTCAACATTCAACAGATGGAGAAATATAACATAACAATACTATATCATTAAATATATGGTGCACCATTAAATGGAGCTTCACAATGATAAACTAATTTGTAATTTTATTTTGCATTTGGAAATATAGGTCATTTTTTACCCACTAAACTAAATGGCATAACTAATACCACTAACAAACACCTAAGTCAATAGCAGGAGTCTTAGTAAAGCTAAAAGAGCATATTAATTAAATGTTTGAATTTTAACAAATCAAAACTATAACACTGAGCAAGAAATGTAGCCAAAACTGAGCAAGAAATGTAACCAAATAGTATCTTAAACTGCTCAACACAGTTATTCTCTCATATATACAATTAAAGTACATGCATGCATATATATACAATAAACTGTAATAATGTTACCCCTACCAGAGGTTTCCATTTCATATATGCATGCATGTACTTTAATTATATTCTGCTTATCTTAACTTGTGAGGCAGCTAGCATTCACTGCACTAAAATGAAATAGAATCTGTGGAAAGAAGGTGGATTTGGGACCAGTGAACAAGTGGTGATGCTGAACATGGAATTTCATTCAAATTAAATTGTTGGGAATTGGCCTGGAAATCTCTATTGATCAAACAACACTGCTAAATGGTATCTGATCTGCCCCTTAATATTTTGTGAACAATGAGCTCCATCAAAGCATATGAATATTGCACTTTTCTCTTTTAGGTTTTGAACTTTTGTAGTAATATAATGCAAAAGATAAAAGCAGATAGATGAGATCCCATTGCAGATTGCACAAGAACAGAATTGAAGCTTGAGTTCAACACATGAGTTCATATCGACCTCTTCTTTTTCTTACCTTTTTCTCAACTCTTATTACTATGAATTTAATAATAATTATTACTATTATTATTATTATAATACCCCTTAGAAAAAGGCCAAAAAGGCAACCTGAAATAGAGAAGTAAAGAAAAACCAAGGATGACTAGCAATATAAAATCAACCAACTCCCATCACTAGAACTATCCTCTAAAAGAATGATTGCCATGTGAAATAGATATAAGGGTTTGATGGAATGGACTGCCCTAAGGAAGTGCATAAGAAATTACCTACAATATGTCAAACTAAGAAATGGTCCCCATGTGTTTAAAACTACTCACTGTTTTTTTTTTTCTTTTTTTTTTCTATTCATAAACAATGGAATTCCAGTCCAGAGTGGTCCCAATGCACACACATGGCAGTCGAACAACAAGCAATATCACCAAACAATACAAGTAATACAACCAAAAATTATCATACCCATTACCCAATAATCTGAGCATTACAACCAATTTATACATAATGAAGTGCAATTACAAAACACAAAAGCAAAACCATAGCCGTATAGTCATATTACAATAAGAAAAGAAGGTCTAGAAAACACACAATAAATAAGGACAACACTGATGAATTAGATCAGTAATTTACCATCTCACAATCAAAACTTTCAAATTGGAAGGTCTAAAAAACACACAATTCATTCTCAAATAATTAAAATTCGAAATAAATAAATAAATAAGGAGAACTTACCGAGAGGGTCGAGCCGGCGAACCGGCGAAGCAGCGAGGCGGCGAGGGGACGCACCAGTCGGCCGTCGAGCGAGAGCTTAGGCGATGGAGTTTCCAGATCTGTGGCGATGGAGCTTAGGGAGATCGATAAGGGTTGGCCGTCGTGCCTGTGTGCAGTGGGAGGCGAGTTCGACGCACGGCGTGGCCGGCGATGGAGTTTCGACCAGATCGGCAATGGAGATCGATCGTCGATCTGTGGCAATGGAGCTTAGGGATCGGAGGCGGTTTTTTTTTTTTTTTTTACTTAGGTAGTTTTTTTTTACTTAGGTTTAAATTGTGACCGATGGGTTATTTTTGGGTGGGAATCCGGGGCTCCAGTCATGGCAGGTGCCTCGGATTCCAATTTTAATAATATTGGAACCCGCGGCACCCTTTCCAAGAGGGTGCCGCGGATTCCATTATTATTATTATAATAATATTATATCCGCGGCAACCGCTTAGGGATGTGCCGCGGATTCTAATATTATTATTATTATAATAATATATCGCGGCACCCTTTCGGTCTGGGTGCCGCGGATTCTCATATTAATATAATAATAATAAAATATCTGAGGCACCTCTTTATAATTGGTGCCTCTGAAAGTTCCCCCTTTTTCTATCCAAGACACCTTCACCTTGAAGGTGTAGTGCAAAGTACTACTTATATGTCCAATTATGTAGTAGTGCATGTTACCATTGCTCAGATTTATGTGGATGACATTGTTTTTGGCTCTACTTTACAAAAGTATATTGATGATCAAGTAAAGGTCATGAAAGAAGAATTTGAAATGTCCATGGTTGGCCAACTGACATACTTTCTAGGGCTGCAGCTAAAATAGAGTCCTAAAGGGTACATTATCTCACAAGAAAAGTATGCTAAGAATTTTGTCAAGAAGTTTGATCTGGAATCGTGTAAACCATCCAGGACACCTATTTCTACCTCCACAAAAGTATCCAAAGACGACACTGGTGCATCAGTTGATAACACAGTATATCGGAGTCTGATAGGAAGTCTGCTTTACTTAAATGCCAGTCGACCAGATATTATGTTCAGTGTTGGGATCTGTGCAAGATATCAATCTGATCCGAAAGAGACTCACCTGATAGCTGCTAAACGGATTCTAAAGTATATAAAAGGAACAATTCAATATGTGCTATGGTACTCCAAGGACAGTGAACTTAGTCTGGTTGCATACTGTGATGCTGATTGGGCAGGAAATATTGATGACAAAAAGAGTACTTCGGGTGGGTGCTTCTTTTTTTGTAAGAACTTGGTATCGTGGCTTAGCAAGAAACAGAATTCAATTTCTTTAAGTACTGCAGAGGCAGAATATATAGCCGCTGGCGGATGTTGCACTCAGTTGGTTTGGATGAAACAGATGCTTCTGGACTATGGGCTTACTCAAAGAATTATGACTCTCTACTGTGATAATGTCAGTGCAATCAATATCTCAAAGAATCCAGTTCAACATTCAAAAACGAAGCATATTGTTATAAGGCATCACTACATCAGAGATTTGGTAGAATCCAAGGAAATAGAGTTGGAATACATTCAAACAAATAAGAAACTGGCTGACATTCTGACTAAGCCCCTGGATGCAAATCGATTTGAGATTCTCAGGTGTGCTTTGGGAATCTGCAGGATTGATTAATAAGGCAATTAGCTATACAGAAGGAGAGTATATGGTGTTATATTTACGGGTCAAAATTTAGCCTTTGACTTCCTTTTAAACTCCCTTCTGTTTTGTTAAGAGAATATCTTAACCTAAGTTACCATAAACTATTTCTCCTTTTCTAAATTCAAATCTCCAACCCTTCCGTTTCATTCCTAAAAAGGAGGTATACCGTTGCGTCAATCACATCGGCTCTGAATGCATTCTGACAAGCCGCATTAAATAGGGTTCTTCACCCTTGGGATTATATATGATTATCGGGTCAAGCTTGAAAGGAAGAAGAGTTCAAAAATATCTCTGCTCACTGATTATTTTCTCTCTACTCTTCTACCTAGGGTCTACCTTCTTACATACCCAAATTGCACATCAATGGCGGATGCTGTACGAAATATCATCATCAAGCTTGGGAGAAAGGTCCATTCACCAGAAACAGCCACTAAGCATGTAAAGACGCTGCTTCAGTTAGCTATGAAGAAGAAATTGAAGCTTGACTCTGATCTACGCGATGAAATCATGGTCACTGTGCTCTCGGATTATCCGAAGTTCTATGCAGATTGGTCCAAGGATGACACCAGTGAGCTTTTGATGCTGGCCTCCGAGGTGAGTGATGAGGTTAGCCTTGCGTCTATCCCAGAACCTGCAGATGGTAATCGTGCTGGGGCATTCCTTCAATATTTTGCTCAACGGGCACTTGAATCCGAAGAGGTCTCACGTCGTCGAGCAGCAGCTCAGGCCCCGCTACCTACAAGCTGCCCAGGACGAAGCTACACGCCGGATTAAGTTTCTTCGTAACAGGTCTAATACCTCTGAATCTCCTATTGAAATCTCTCCTGATAAGCCTGATGATTTAGTCTCTGATGATATTCCGTCTGCTTTGCCTATTGTTGAAACTGATAATATGAATGCTTTATTATCTGTGAGATCCTCTATGCCTGATGATCCCCCCTGTATCCCCTCTGAAAAATCTGATCCTCTGAAAGATGTTGTTGATGAAGTTTCTGATGAGAAAGATAAATCCTCCGATTTGGCTAACAATTTAGTTTGGTTGTTTACTCTGCTGAAAAAGTTGCTCTGCCCTCTACTGAAATTGCTGTGTCCCCTAGAGAAATCTATCCGTTTGAAAATCCCTCCAGCTTGCCCCCTGAAATTGAGGCTGCCGGTATCTCAAATCCCCATGCATCTGATCAAATAGATGGGGTGCTAGTCTACACTGCTTCATCATTGGCTGAGAGCCTTGAACATGTCCCGCACATTGCAGGTTTACCCACTGCCTCTATTCCAGAATCGTATCGTGTGATTCACCCCTCTGAGTCCTCGAGTGAAGATGAAAAGATTCTTGCTGAAGTCTATGGTCCACAAGCCCATTTGTCTAAACCCCCTTCGGTTGAGGCTACTGCGCATCCTGATTCAACCACCTTCAAGATTCGAGAGGTTACCAGTCTTCTTGGAAGTTCTTCTTCCCAAGTTTCTGAGACAAGTCATTCTGTATCTCCAAGCCCTTCTGCTCATTCCCCATCCAAAGAGACGAGAAAATCCAAACGAAAGAGTGTCCCTGTGAAAGTGGTTGTGGAATCTGGCGATGACAATCTTGATGTGGCTCAACCTGAGAAGAGGAGAAATTCTGGTGAATCAGTCAAAACTGAAGCTAATCCTCCTGTTCAACAAGTGTTCAAAACCCTGTGGTCATCCGTCAAGCAAAACGGTCCTGCTGTGGTTCCCACATCTTCTACGAGGAAGGGGAAACCAATTACTCGCTCCAGAGGACGAAGTATTATGCCTGAGGTTTAACCTACTGCTGAGAATCCTGACACATCTATCTATAGACCTCAGTTTGTCTCCTCTACTGCCCAAGGAAAATGGTCCACAATGATCTGGAGAGATCTTATTGTTCAGCGGTCTGTTGATGAACACCAGTTGAACTCTGTTTGCGATATCTTGCCCTTGCTGAGTGAAGTGGGCCTGTTGAATACTGTCTCCTCCATTTTTCCTTATTCGAAGCTTCTGACTTACGAGTTCTACTATAATCTCAATGAGGAAATTAACAATTTGTCCAGGACATGACCAATGCAAATCTTCATTCGCGGAAAATGGTATGTCTTCGGCCCTGACATGACAAATGAGTATTATGGTTTGAAAGGTGTGCACGAAGAAGAAATCACGTATTGGGATTTGGTGGCGAAGACCCTCACAGGTGGACAATCTGATACATGGCCTACGGATGAAAAAGATTATCTGCCTAGCTCACAACTCACCTCCAAATATGTTGGTCCCGATAGGGTGGTAAAAAGTCTAGACGGGGGAGGGGGGGGGGGGGGGGTGAATAGACTTTTTAACTTTTTCACAATTAATAACACTTTGGTAATTTCAACTCTAAGTAACAAGATATTTAACTTAGATACGCAGCGGAATAATTAATCAACCAAGTGTTACGTAAAATCAAAGAGATATATCACATGCAATATGATGGATATGCTTGGTATGGCTCAAATAATAAGTATGAAAATTTATGCTCACATGCATACGTGAAAACTACTACACCCAGATGAATATTTTTGCACAGTATAAGATGGGTTAGTCAAATATTCAACATGCAAGACAACAAAATATTTAAAAAGATGGTTCACTCAATATGTATACAATATCACGTGTGAATCAATGAGATGAATCCAAATAGAATTGTTTCCGCATGCACTTGTAAAGTCACATAACCCAATCAATAAGATAGATAAATAAGACGAATAGTAAATGGGTTAGTATGCATGCAATAATAAATAAAAGCATTAAGTAAATGAGAGAGGCAATTTATAGTGGTTGAGAGGTGGTGTAATCCTCCTAGTCCACTCTTCTCCTTTCACTCCAAGGAGGAATTTCACTATCTCGTTCATCTAGATACAAATAGTGAATCAAGTGCACACAGACACTTCCCGAGTATTTTGCACACAGCTACACTCAATCCCGAGTATCTCGCACAAAGCTATACTCCCGAGTATCTTGCACAAAGCTATACTCCTACACCAACTAAGTGTCTTGCACACAGCTACACTTAGCACCACCGAGCGTCTCGCACACATCTACACTCAGCAACCACGAGTGTCTCTCACAAAGCTACACTCACGAGTGTCTCACACAAAGCTACACTCAACAGGGTAGTGTCTTGCACAAAGCTACACTCAACCCTCTTTCTACACACAGTAGAGGTAAAATTTAGAGAAAAAAATTTTCTCTTCTAAGGACTTGAAGAATTTCTCGTGAAAACTCAAACTGGATATTTCAAATTTTTGCTTTTCTATTTTTGTTGTGTTTGCCTCCCTTGATCTGCTTCATGTCTTCAAGTCATCTGGTATATATAGCTGGAGAAGCTATATTACCGTTGTAGCGTCACTTGATCTTGAT